TCCCCAGCAAGCAACCATCTATTACCCCATAGGACTTTCCTACTCCCAATAGTTTGTCACTGTTTGCTCCCTAGTAGCGTCATCCGTACTGGCATATATGCAAACCAACCACCAGGAGATCTTCTTGCACAGGTCCTCAATGCATAGTTCTATAGTAAAGTTCGTGTATAAAACTTTTTTGACCTGAACCTCTTTCTTCCACATTACAGCCAATCCCTCAGACCTCCTTACAGGATCCACTACAAACAAGTTGTCAAACTTAAGTTTCAGCTTTAGTTTATTCATATAGTACTTCTTATTTTTAGTCTCAGATAAGAACAATATTTCTGGGAAGTGGAGTCTGTTCACCTCCTCCATTTGGGAAACTGTCAAGGGTCTTCCCGCACCTCGACAATTCCACACCAAAACCCTCATGGACACTGTGGGGCCCCATTCAGGTCGGGCTCCCCCACCTTCTCCATCTCACTCCTCTTATACTCCAATACCAATTTACTATATTTCTTGTATCCACCATTATCCTTGTCATTGCAAGCCTCCACACTTTTCCTTTTCCCATTATCCACTTCCATTTCTGTGATCCCATTGCTCTCAGTGAATGGCTTTGGTTTCCCTACCTCCTGTACCAGTCTTTTCCACGTCTTGTTCCCTTTATATTTGCCAACTGTATTTTCCTTCCCGCTACTAACCCCCGTAGTAGTCCCCTCAACCCCTGTGCTAGCCCCTTTATGTGATTCCTCCCCTTTCAGTCAGCCATCAATCCACATTATATCCTGCTCCTCACTATTATCCACCTGTGTCATTGCTATTTTAGCCTGGCCCCTACCTCCCCTATTCCTTCCTTTCTCCCCCTCCTGTTTCACATTCCCCTGTATAGTCCCAACATGATCTGGCTGCTGTTCTGAACTACCCTGAGTACCCCTATTCTGTATTATTGCTACTCTATACTGGCCTCTACCTACCTTATTCCTTCCCTTCTCCCTCTCCTGTGTCACATTCCCTTCTATATTCCGAGCACTATCTATACTGATCCCCCCTTCGTCCTTTCTTTCTATCTGTACTAACCCATTATCCCCAGATGTATCCTCTGATCCAGCCATGAAATCACCCAGCTTCTCTATCCCCCCCGACATATAGTCATCCCCCATGGACCCCCACGTCAACAAGTACTGTCCCTTTCCCCTACTCATAGATTGATCAGTCCTATCCTCCTCCCTCATTCTGGATGCCTAGTCTGCTGTCGTTTGCCTCTTATGGGGGCTCTTCGGTCCACTGGCCTTGAGCCATACTCCATACTGAGACTCCTTATGCAGGTACAAGCCTTTATCCTTACAATTCCTCTCATTATGCCCCATACGCCCACAACAGTAACAAAAGTCAGGGCACTTCTCATATTTGAAATCTATCCATCTCCCCACTCCATTCATTTTTACTGTTGTTCCCCTTAGTAAAGGCTGAGTCAAATCAATTTCTACCAGAACCTTTAGATGTTTACCTTCTCTTCCCCCCCCCACTCGGAACTATAACTTCCTTGACAGCTCCACATACCTTTCCTATTTTCTTTCCCGCTTCCTTAGATATCCAGTGCATAGGTAAATTCCAGATCTGCATCCATATCCAAGTTTTGGTAAATACTTCCTCCTTTGTTTCAACTCCTTCCCTCCATGGTACTATTATTAGAGGTTGATTATCATATACCCATGGTCTCCCCCCCAATACCTTCTCTTTGTCATGTAAAGAGTCAAATATAAACTGGAACTTATTAATTCCAATCTCCATCACCCTCAAATTTTTCGCAAAAATCCACATGTTATTAGCAAAGCTCCTAATCCCAGCTATATGAGCCACCTTGTCCCCAAACACCTTCCCAATAATACTTCTCTTACACTCTTCCGTACTCTGACTGACATCCTCACTATCTATCTGTATTCCACCCGCCTCCTTCTCAGACAGCACAAACTTCCTTAGCACCTCTTCCAAATCCTCAGCTATTTGCCCCAATCTCAGTTTCCCACAAAGTCGCTATTACCTCCTGAAACAAGCCTGCACAACAGAAATGACTAGACAGAACCAGATCTACTTGATGAGAAACAAAGCGATCAAGCAAGCCTCAGCCGAAAAAGATCAAGAGAGAAACAATGAGCTAAGACTTAATCAAAACCAAATCGAATAGAATACAACCAAGCGAAAACGCAAACTGACCAATCTAAGCAGTAAAGCAAAAACGCAAATAAACACAGAACAGAATAAGGTCGAAGAGCATCAGCTGCGCAAAAGTTCACCAAAAAAAAAAAAACACGGCAAACTACAGCACAAGGTAATGGAGCTCAACCTGCAACTACAGCAACACGGCAAACTCAGTCACAAGGTAATGAAAGACACTTACGCAGCTGGTCTAGACCAAGCTCAGATGAGTTTGAAGAGCCCTCCGAACTTAAAAAAACTCAGTCCTAATCAATCTGGAGACATTACTATTTATCGGAAAGCAAGGCCTATTTAGGTATATGATTATGATCGGCACACATTTTCACTCAAAGTTTGAATCAGTCGAGGAAGATCGCTAATGTGTAGGAGATATTAGGTTTTTTGAGGTTTGGGAAATTTTGAACTTTCACGCGGGAAGAGAGAGCTCTCAGGTTAGAGAGAGAAAGTTGCTCTCACTAAAGGAGAGACGTAACTCCTGTGATGGTGTACTGACTTGTTATTCAAAAATGTCTTTTAGAAATGGGGAATGGGTTTTTTTTTTTTTTGCCTGGGTTTTGGGGTGTTTTTGTTGTTTTAGGGGGAAGTGAGACTTAATCGAATTTGAAGAGAAATAGAGAACAAGGCCGTTGATCGCTTCCATGTATATGACCACACGCCTACCAGACTACTAGTCAAGACATTTTAGTCACTTTGACTGGATCCATTTTGGTATTTAATACGATTCCTGTTTCTCTCTTCTTCTTTTTTTTCCCTGTGGATGACAATAGATAGAGTGCGTAGCAATTTTAGATTAATTATTGGGTATTCTCTATCGATTATTTAAACTCGTCAAATCTTTAATGAAACATAGATTAAAGTCATGATTTAACAATACTATCACATACAATATTGACGAAAAAAATATGAATCCAGTCAATTTGATTCCACAATCAGCTGCTAAACAGATCAAAGTTTCCGGTGTGTAGTTAATAATAAAAACTGAGTCAAATGCAGCCCACGAAATAGGAATAGCTAGGAAATATCTAGCAATCAATTGCAAAGAAAGGTAATGAGTTTTATTAGTGTCATGTGCTATCGAACTGAAAGATTAAAACACGAGAGAATCTACATATATAAATAAATAAAAATTAACTTTTTATAATACTGATAGTATAGTAATTTTTTTACACTAATAGTTATGAATATATGTCATGTATGAATTATTTAAATTTTAAATTTGAATATATATATATTATATAGCATGATCTTACTATTCATCATCATTGAGTTTGTTTGAATTGTGAATTATTAGAGATATTTTTACTGTAACACTTTTTGTGATGTGATGTATGTAAGATAAAAAGATAATTGGGAAGATAAAAATGTGTGTTGGAAATTGTAACGATGATGTAAGCAAATATATTTTGGCAAATAAACCGCAATCCAAACAAACCCGTCGAAAGATCTTATAGATCTTAATTTGAAACATCTGTTAACAAATTTGAGGATGGGGAATGAAGATTCAAACTTGAGACTTTCCCGTAAATTTGCAAAAGATCTTATAGATCTTAATTTGAAACATCTGTTAACAAATTTTTACCTTCTTACGGCACTGGCCAAGCATTACAAATGTTTAGTTTGACCGGACTGTAATGTATTATTTATCCTCCGGTAATTACGGGATGCCTGAATAAATGCTGGAATGAGGTAAATTATGTTCTCGGGAAGTGGGAATCCTAATCACATAAAGTTCAGCAGTTGTGTCTTTTATTTTTTATTTTTTTTTTTTTGTGGGGTGTTGGAGATAAAGAGTTATGTCTTCTCTTGGAAGGCGGAATTACATTTCTCAAAGGTGGTGTAAATGCATGATGTTTCATCCATTCCTCTGTTGTGCTTTAAATGCTGCTTGTTCTCCATGAAGTTATGTGAAGTGACCGCCGCTGACGATCGTATCACGGGCAGCTCGGATCAGCACACAACTACTAGAAGAAATCATTTGCCCAATCAACTTCCCGTGAGAACAACATTTGCACCCCCAGCCACCCCCCCCCACCCCCCACAAAAAAAAAAAATATAAGTTTGAACAAGTTTTGATTTGATGAATGTAATTGAATCAATCCATTTATATCCGTCATATAATAAAGGTGTCAAAGTAGACAAGTCATAAATGAGTATGATCTTGAATAATTGTAAATTATTCAGTTATCCATTTATAATTCTATTTAAAATTTTTTCTATGTTTTTTTCTCTACACGTTTGTTTAATAAGAAATAACAAATTACAATTTATTATGTTAGAAAAAACAAAAGGCATATCAAGGTCGTAAATAAGTAATTTTATCCAAAATAAAAGAGAAAAGAAAAAAATTAATAAAAATTGCACATAACATAAAATGGTGATTACGATGAGTTACATGCAATGCCATACCATAGAAGTTGAAAATAGTTTTAGGTACTAACAAGAGAAGTTAATTAACACAACAATTGAAAAAATTTGCTTGAATTTGAAACGAGGGAAGAAGAAAGAGAAGGCAAAAAAAAAAAAATGATAGAAAAAGATAACAATAAATATGCTCGACAAACTCTAAAAACAGTTGTCTCATTGGTGAAAAATCTATATATATTTACCCAATTAAAACCCACTAATTATTGAGTTTGAATTTGAAATTATTTTTTTAAATGGGTCTTAATGAGTAATCCCAAATCTATCAACTTAAGCCCCACTAATTAAATAGATTTAATGAGTTACTCAATTAAATCCGACCAAGAGCCAAACCTAATTTCACCCGACGGAGCCGATCTCACATAGATGTGGATTTACATGATGCGCTCACTCTATGTCGTGCTTGCCTGATCCATGAGAGACCTTCTTGAGAACGTTCTAAATACAATACAGGGCTGTGGCATTCTAAACAAAACACATTATTAATTGGACCGATCGGCCAATGTCTTTTGAAAAAAGGATCGAACATTCCAAATGAACATTCTTCTGCTGCAAGTAGAAGTGTACCAAATCCTCCCTACCTTTCTTTCTCTACTTGGCAATTGCTTCTTTTTTTTTTTTTTCTCATTTGATAGGGTTTTAAACCATTAATTCCCCGAGTTTTTCAAACTATTTGTATCCAGTAGAAATCCACACAGCCAGAATACATAAATCTGTGCAAATGAACACACAGGTTCTTCAATCATTGCAGGACGACATGATAATCTTTCTTTCAAATAGGAGGCCACCCCATCCTTTTCTCAATTAAGACAGGGATGGGAAAACAATAAATACCCAACTCAACGAACTCTATATTTAGCCCGCGTGCACTAGGAATTGGTAGGATTCATCAAATCAACAACGAACAAAGTTCTCTACACTCGAGCTAGGCAGGCTCATCCTAGGTTGTAGACGGGACTAGCTAGCTATCTAGGGAGTGAAATGGAGAGGATGAAATCGAAGCTTTCCATGATTTGCATTTGCATTGCCACGTTGGCAATAGTAGCAGTGGCTACAATTCAAGAGGATGAGAAGGATTGTGCGGACCAGCTTACCAATCTTGCAGCTTGCATTCCCTATGTAAGTGGCGATGAGAAGATCCCCACTCCAGAGTGTTGTGAGGACACCAAGAAAGTCAAGAGTGCTAAACCAAAGTGTCTCTGTGTTCTCATCAAAGAGAGCACCGATCCCTCCATGGGTCTCCCCATTAACACCACTTTGGCTCTTAAAATGCCTTCTGCTTGCAAGATTGATGCAAAAGTCTCCGACTGTCCATGTAATCTCTCCATCAATTTTCATCAAAGAAAGATACACTTCACTCGTTGCTAAAAATAGCACGTTACGGACAATTCAGACTAACTTGTTTGATGCAAATCAGTATAATGTTGTTCGTTGATGTTTTTGAAACTCTTTTTTTTTTTTTTTTGGCAGCTATACTGAACTTGGCACCAGATTCACCTGATGCAAAGATTTTTGAAGCAGCGAGTAAGGATTCGAGCACGAGTTCATCAACAACAAACTCTCCTCCAGCTTCTGCTTCAACTTCTTCATCATCGTCTGGATCATCAACATCTCCATCTTCTTCAAGCTCATCATCGAGTTCAGACACCAAGCCAACCGCAAGCAGCAGCATTGCTGGAGCGAAGTTGTGCCAAAGCAGCCTTGTTATTGCGGGATCCGCAGTAATTGCGCTGTTGTTACTTTAAGTCCCTTTACCAGCCATCGAGAGAATAATACATGCAAGCAGAGACATCATCTAAGGAAATAATGGAGTCTCAAGAGTATGATAGTCGGTTAGTTTAGTTCTCCGCTTATGAATTTTAGTTTTAGGATAATAACAATAATAAAAGATAAGAGGCAGCTGTGCGACCGCAAAGTTTCCTTCAACATGTTGGAGAAGGTTCTTTAAATTTCTTCTCCCTTCTTTGTTTTCATGAACCCGATGTAATGGTAGAATTCTTGAGTGACTCTGCTTCTACTTTCTTAGTTCCTTTCATTTTTTTTTTTTTAAAAAAAAAACTTTTTTCCACAATGATAAAGATGGAATTTTACATATTCTTTAACAGTAAACCATGTAGTAAGTACTTCAGCTTCAAATTCCCAGAAGCAAAAGCACCTGCCTTTAGTAATGCCTCAGCCTCACGAAGAATTTTTTTATTATTATTTTAAGAATTATAAGATTCCCAGCATATACTAGTCCATAACTCACATTTTATGTAGGATCTGATGCATTTTCATTTCGTTCAGATTAGGCAAAGCTAGGCCAGATGATCCTACCCAAAAAATAATTATTTTGATAATAATAAACGGTCCGTCTGACGTATGTTTTACGGGCATTCGTTAAAATGTATTTCAGGTATTAAATTTTTAAAAATATAAAATTAATTATAAAAAACATATAAATATAAGGGAATTAATTATAAAATAAATATAAAAAAATTATTATTATTAATACGTATATATATATATATATATATATAAATTGAGTAGAATATAAGTACAGTCGCCTTGTTACGAAAAGTCAATAATAAAATCTGACAATCTAACTATACATGCTGCCACATCATAGAAGTGCATTGATCTCGATGATAAGACTGGAGAGTGCGCCCAAACGAACGGGCTCCACTTCCCTTGCTTGTCGTCAGAATTTATTAGCTTCAAGTCATCGCTCATCGAGCGAGAGTGATAGTCGTACTCCGTGCAGTTTTTCCTTCAAAAAAAAAAGAAAAAAAAAACTGCATGCAGCTTTTGTTGTCTGTGCGGGATTTCGATCCGCCACATGTCCAAGAAATATCACGCCTGTCTCTAAGTGGGATTTCAAGTTTCAGCCACAAATAGGTCAAGGAAGCACTTCCAAATCTTGGATCATTTAATTTCTCTCACGCTACCCATAGAGGATGGATGGATGGATGAGCCCGAAATAGCGGCAAGCACTTGTCTTGTCGGGATATTTTATCAGTGGAAGCACAGGCTAAAGGAGGAGTGGAGCGGGCGACAACTGACAAAGCTCCGTACCAGTCTGATTATATGGCAAAAATGATTCTGGAGATACCTAATTGGATCACATAAAACGAGGTCCTAAGAAACTACTAGTAGTATACTATAAAATATAAACGGGTTCGCTACAAGAGAGTCGTTAGGACGACTCCATTTTTAAACCAAAAAAAAAGAAAAAAGCAAGTTATTTTTCTTTGTTTTGGTAGGCCATTAGCCGGCGTGAGAGTGTCGTGGGATTTTGAGGAAGAATTAGTAAGCAATGATGTCAAGAGAAGAAAACGCGGAGTTGGACCACCGACTCGAGGGATTTTGAGGAAGATTTACTAAGCATCAAGAGAAGAAAACGCGGAGTTGGACCACCGACTCTTAGTCATAGAGATTAATCTGGAGAAAATGGTACATAAACGGATTTAGAGGCTTTTACTAATTCCTTAGTCCCAACCGACTAGCGTATCAAAAAGCAAAAAAGACAAGAAACTGAGCAAGTGCAGCGATCAGTCTGCTTGTCATTGCCCGCTATTTTGTTTCCTGATTGCCCTGAAAAAAAAAAGGAAAATTGCCGTAGCAACTTCGAGCACAAGCTAATGCCGGGAGCGGAAAAAGAAAATCTAAATTTACTAAAAAATATATAGTACATAAGAGCGACGATGAAGGAAATGCCTCTTGAAAGGAGTTGGGACACTATTGATTAAAGCATGAATTTTCCAATGCGCCTATGAGCGCAATGCCTTGCCACATCCAAATTTTGACAGCATGACTGTCAAAATTAAGATACCAGATGCTGATCAACCTTTGCTGCTAACCAGGAGCATTATTACAACCTCAAAAACATATGAGAAGACGATGCCAACTTCCGGTAGGAAGCCCTTGTTACTTCGCTTACCAGTCAAGAAGCTGAATTCATCCACACACACACACACACACATCTAATTTTATAACTCCGCAAGACTCAGGTAAGCTATTTGTAGAGATCTTGTTCACTTGATGCATTAGCAGCATCCGACAGAAAAAGATGAGCAAAAGAATTCCATATATCCATCTTGAACTGATAAGATCATAAGGTTCAAAATCTGTAAATATCCATGAAACATTTACACAAAAACCTACCAGCAGGAATGTGATGTGAGGGAACAACAAGGCAGAAAATGAGAATCTAGTAAACCTAGTTTTGAGCCTAATTTTCCCCTCAAGTTAATCCAAAACTGTAAAATGTCAAGAGTCCTTTCAATGTAATCAGATTCTCATGTTTATTGTGCATTTTTCAATTGAACAAGAGAATACATGTTCAATTCAATCTCCAAAACAGTTTACCGTGGGGGCTGCTGGCTGTAGTGGCTCTTCTCTTTTTTCTTTGCTGCAGCTATCCTTGCGTTCCTTGCAGCAGCCTCACTTGCTGCAGCTCGGGCAGCAACATCCATCTCCTTGCTAGACTTTTTCTTCTTAATAGATGCCAGCTTCTTCATCTTCTCTTTCACATCTACAGATGGCCTGTCCTCTGCTTTTACAGACCCAAGGTTCTCAACAGCTCCACTTTCAACCTCATTTCCATGGGGCTGATCATGTTGTTCTTTAGTCTCCTTTGACAATTTATCCTTCTTTTTCTTCTTCTTTGCGCTTTTGCTCTCCCCTGGAGCACTGCTCTGCTTTTTATCCTCATTAAGATCGTCCACCTTCTTATCTTGTGAAATTTCTGAATGTAGGAGCACAAGTAGTTAAATATGAATCAAAACACAGAGTATTCAAAGAACAGTTGAACTAATTGAAGTCAATATACAGCAAGAATATGGAAATATTTGTATGTTTCCAACTGCAACGCCGAATGCCAATGCAAGTGCAAAAATACATATCAGATCTAAAGTGTAAAAAACTTAATACTGTATTGACAGTAATAACCATAGAATTAGCATACAAAAGATCCTCTTTAAAATGGTTATGTTAAAAATTTGTTCTGCCTCCAAACAATTCAAACTGACTCGCACAATAGCATTTGGGACTTGGGCTACCAAAATTAGTTTATTCCCTCCTCCCCTCGCCCCCCCCCCCAACCCACCCTGCTTATTATGCATGCCAATGATGGAAGCAGAACTAATCACAGGTTCATAGCTAAAGAAGACAGAGGGATGTAGCAGTACATCTCATCCTTACAACTAAAATTCCATAACAATTTCAACACTTACCCACTTTTTTTACCACTTTTATCTCAAGTATCGATGTGCACAAGTAGTTTTTGCCAGAGCATTTTATAAAATGGTCAAAGAAAATGAAAATACAAAATCTACCTTGGGATGCATCTTGGTCTTTGGGCTGCTTGTATCCAAATTGGGCAAGCATTTCTTCCAGTTCAGCAAGTTCCTTTTTCTTCAATTCCTTCTTCGACAGCTGCCTTTCTGACTCCTTAGGTGCTACAATTTCAGCAGGCTTCTCAACTACTGACTCTTTCTCAGCATGTACTTCAGGTTCATGTTCATTTTCTTCATCATTGTCATCATCAACTTCATCAAGGCCTTCTTCACTTTCACTTTCCTAACACAAGTTATTGGATTTGGTCATTACAGTAGTTCAAACTACTCACAAAAGGAAAAGAAAACAAAAAGGGTTACTCTGCAATCAAGAAATTGGCTGCTTGAGAAGTAACTCAAACAATACATTTTACCCTTCCAGATTATAATAACTCAAACTCAGTACTATAAGCTTTTCATATGTGTTCAATCAATAAGACCAGGAGAGCTTCAAATTCAGGGAACTAGAAGTTTTCTTATTTCATTACACCCTGATAACTAACCCACGTTCTGAAATCTGCTGTTCAAGTTTACTTCTGCTTGGAAATGTTATAAATTATTAGGAGTGAAAAACAAATCACCTTAGAATCATTAAGAGGCAATATGAAAAGCATCTCAGAACAGAGAAAGGGCTAACAGAAAAGGAAAGAAGGGAATGACGCACAATTAGGAATGGTAGCATACTAGTATACTAAACTGAGAGCTAAAATTTTTATTTGTTTTGAAAAATCAAAATGTAATCAACGGAGATATACAAGTAGGGTAGAGATGGGGTGCGTCTAAGATAATATTGAAGGAACATAGCAAAATGATCTTGTAGCTTAAGGGAAAAGGCACTTAAGAAAGCGCAAGGGATAGCAATAGTTCATTAAAGCAGCGGACTCTACGAACGGGTGACTCTGGTCCAAGTATCAGAGGATATTAGCTTTAAATCCTATTCAATTGCCATCCCAAAATTATAGTGAGACATAATGCAAACCAGACAAGATGATGTTCTGTCATTATTACGTGTTACGAAGCAAATCAATTGAAATAATTGGTAAGAACAAGTAGCCCACAGATACGAGACAATCAGAACAATAAAAGCAACAGCCATTTGGCAACCAACAAAGTATTCCAGACAAGCATTTGATCTTAAATGAGACAATATAACGCCATGACAATTAACATGATTAACTCAATCTGCAGAACAATAGAAGTGTCGACAAAATCTTAATCACCGAGACAACAGGAACATTCGCATTTCTATTTCAGCATGCAACTGCATGGTAATGCACCCTCGTTATTGAAACACAAAAAATGGCGCCATTTCCATTTCAGCATGCAAACGCATGGCAATGCATTATTGATTGAAACACATAAACTGGTCAGGATAAAGAAAATGTCTCAACAAAATGCAACCTACATGTCAAAACTACATTGCAGGAACAAGAGATAGCTCAAATAAAGGTTTATACATTTCAAACTTCAAATATCCTCTAAAGCTCATACTAAATTTGACTCATAAAACATCACATAATAATGTTTCTATCAAGCAAGGTGTCAAGCACAAAATGTAAATTGATGCAAATGCAGAAGCACTTTAGCATCATGCATTGGCAATCTAGTAGTCCATCGACAGACTTAGAGGATGACTTAAAACCGGGGCTTAGAAATAAAATCCAGATCATTGATTATATCACTAGCTCTGCCTGGAACGTAT